AAATACAAAACAGAAATAGACTCACAGACATAGAATACAAACTTGTGGTTGCCAAGGGGGCGGAGCGGTGGGAAGAGATAGACTGGGATTTCAAAACTGTAGAATAGATAAACAAGATTATACTGTATAGCACAGGGAAATATATACAAGATCTTATGGTAGCTAACAGAGAAAAAAATGTGACAATGAATATACACATGTTCATGTATAACTGAAAAATTGTGCTCTACACTGGAATTTGATGCAATATTGTAAAATGATTATAAATCAATAAAAAATGTTAAAAAAATAAAATAAGGAGACTAATCTTGATATAGGTGATTTTTAATTAGTTAGGATACACTTTAAGCACCATAGCAAACATTTCCTTGACTTCAGACCTGCCAATACACTACTTAGAAAAATGGACCATTTCTGCATGTCAGTAGAAATTTTATCACGGCTTATGCACAAAATAAAAAACTTGTAGCAATTTTAAAACTGCTGAGAGGAAACATAAGTCTATGTGAAAGAATACTCAAGGAATGACTTCTGCCTTAAGCCTGAAGAACATTTCCACAATATATAGAGTTCTAGGGTATTGTTTTCTTTCCATCTTGAAATCTACTATCTTCCAGTTTCTGCTATTGCTGCTCACACTCATACTTCTGCCTGCTGCGCCTCTGAAGATGAATAGTCTTTTCCGTGTGACTACTTTTGTGATTTTTATGATTTTCTCTGTTGCTGGATTTCAAAAGTTTGACTTAAACACAGATGTATTCTTATTTATTGTGTCTTACCTGTGGCTTTATGTCCTATCCTACATTATTTTCGGAAATTCTGTATCTCTTTGAATACTACTTCTGCACCATCCTCCTTCATTTCTACTACTAGAATTAAAATTATGCATCTGGTAGAACGTGCCACCACAGCCATTGCCTCCTTCAAGTTCTCTTTTGTATTTTTCTATTCTTTTGTCTATGTTTTATTCTGGATATTTTTCACTAACCTGCTCACACAGTATCTCTTCATCTGTTTCTATCCAGTAAAATCTAATTAAATTCTGGATTATTGAAGTACAACATACACTAAAGTGCACAAATCTTAAGAATACAGCTTATAGAACGATGTTGAACACCTTGCTATATGCTTACTGGCCAAGCTCTGCTTCACTTAACTCTCAGCCATGCTTTTGCAATCTGCAGAAACTTCCAGGAGAAATGCAGCGACAAATGCCAGGCTCACCATTCCGGCTTCCTTCCTCTCCCATACCTTATCTTTACACCTTTTCCTAATAGGCTACTCTAGGAGGGAGCATTAATCTGAATCACCCAGGCTGCAATTGCCAGAAGTGAAAAGCTCCTATATTCAACTCTTAGAAGTGAACTAGACAAAGCCATGATGAAATATTTACTTCATCTTCAGATAATATAAAACCAGGAGTGACAGCTAACAGTGACAGGAAAATTAAGATCCAAAACGACAGTCTGAGACTAAAACAATGTGAACACATGAGCAGTAATTCTAAATCTTTTTTATTTTTCAAAGAATTAGCAACCCCTTAGAAAATTTGATAAAAGTTGTGGACACAGGAAAATACACATGGGTGCATCTGCCAACCATATAAACATAACTGAATGAGGTGTAAAACCCCTGAAGCTCATCCATGGGTTATACAATATTCTACAGAAGCCTTGCTCAGTTACGATAAAATGTAATAACTATCAAAGTAAATTTCTAATATAGTCAACTACATAAGTACAGAATGGGCATTAAGTTAGCTTGAGTTTAATCAAAACTGTGACAGGCTGCCACTAAGAAGTAATCTGATCTTAGGCAATAGTAAGAAACATATTCTAGAATGATGTGGTTAAGAGTCCCTGATTAGGGGCACTCAACAGTACCCAGCAGTATTACCGACAATTGTAGGGGGCAATATTTTGTTAAGGAACACCAAAAATCTATACGTCTACAGAAGAGAACCAGGATGGCAAGGAACTCTGAAACCATGTTATATAAGGAATAAATGAAGGAATGAGCGATATGTAACTTACAGAAGAAAACGTTCACTGGTTTCATAAATATGAAGGGGTGTCCTAAAGAAGAACTCAATTTATTTCTTTTGCAATCAGGTAGCAAACTGAGATAAATGTATGGAAATTACAGGGAAATTAATTGAAACAATAGGAGAAAAAAAGGATTATTCAAAGTTAGGGCTGAATGAAAATCAAAGCTCCTATCATAATCACTAGAGGTGCAGAACCACAGCTGACCAGCTGCTTTCCAGAAATACTGGAGGAAATTTACGTAGGCGCATAAAATTAAATTAGGTATCATCTAAAATTTCTCTTAAGGATTCATGAACCTTTTTATAAGAAGTCACTTTAAAAATTATCTTTAGAGAAAACAGAAGAGGGTATTGATATTGATTTTCATCCTAAATATCAACACTTAATTTCTATGAATACGACCTCTTTTCTCAAATGAATACATATAGGAGTTAAAGCAGTAAGTAATTCCAGGCAAAATATTAACTAAGTACATTGACATAAAGACAGATATTTCACTCTCAGGTGCCAAGAATTACGTAACATTTTCAAGATAAATATTAAATAAAATTTTTGGAAGCCAAGATACCTGTTTTCTCTTAATTGTTGCCTCATCTTCTCATCCTTTAGACTCTCATGTTTCAGTTTTGCCAATTCCATAGCCAGTTTTTCTTCTTGTTCAAGCTGGAGCTCCCTCAATCTTTTGTTTTCTTCAGCCTAAAATTTAAAAAATATATATTAAGTCTAGTCATTTGTCCTCCAGAATCAGATTTATTTAACAAGGTTGAATTTATTTGTTTTATAACAGGAAACTGCAAATGTCTTCAGAGCAGTCAACTATTTATGTTTCGTTTTAAAATACAAACTGTTACTTCAAAAAATACTCTTTCTGAACATTGTATCATAGAAAATTTCAAACATCACCAATAGTCAGAATACTGAACCACACCCTTCGGCAGCGATCACTCACCTCCAACAGCTGTCAATATGTTGCCAATCTTTTCTCTTCTACTCCATTCATACTTTTTTCTGTTCTTTTTTACTAGAATATTTTAAAACAAATCCTAGATATGTCATTACCATGTAAATAACTCAATACTGATATCTATCTGACAAGAATTTCTTCTAATATAACCACATCATTAACAAATTTAAATAAATTAACAGTAATTCCTTAGTAAGGTCTAATACCTTGTCCGTATATTCAGGTTTCCCAAATTGTCTCAAAAAACTTTTTTGTTTGGTTTGTGCAAATTAAAATCCAAATAAGGTCTACAATTTTATCTAGTTATTATTTCTCTTAAGTCTATTTTTTAACAGTCTCCTCATGCACACAGTACCACCCCACCTGCCCACCCACATGGCACTGATTTGTTGTAGAAATTAGGACATTTGTCCTACATTCTGAATTTGTTGTTTCCCAGGGATATCATTTATCTTGTTTCTCTTCTGTATTTCCTGTAAAATGGTAGAAAGATCTAGAGACTTGATTAAATTCTGTATTTATTAGTGAATAAGTACATGAAAAGATGTTCAACATCATTAACCACCTGGAAATTCAAGTTAAAACTACAATGATACATCACTACATACCTACAGAAATGGCTACAATAAAAAATAGTAGCAAAACCACATGCTGTGAGAAACTGCATTACTCACTGCTGGGTGGGAATGTAAAATGGTAGTCACTCTGGAAAACAGTTCAGTAGTTTGTTACAAAGCTCAGCTGCAACTACCATACAACTCAACAGTTGTATTAAAGTATTTATCCAAGAGAAATGATAACTTATGTTTATTAAGAAACCTGTACCCAAATGTTTATAGCAGATTTATTCAAAATAGCCAACTGGAAATACCTAGACATCCTTCAACAGGTGAATGGTCAAAATAAACTGTGGTATATCCCTACCACAGAACACTGCTCAGCAACGAAAAGGAATGTGTACTGATACAATCAACAATCCGGATGAATCTCTAGGAATTATGCTGAGTGAAATAATCCAACTCCAAAAGATTACATACTGTTTGACTCCATTTGTATAATGTTCTTGGAAAATGTTCTATTATAAAACTGAATTATAATTCATATAGCATAAAATTCACCTTTCACAATTCACAACTCAGCGATTTTGTAGTATATTCCCAATGTTGTGCAACCATCCTCATTACCTAGCTTCAGAAAAAAAAAAATTTAACAGACTATTTTTTGGAGCAGTATTGGGTTTCTAGAAAAACTGAGAAGAGAGTTCCCACACACCTTCTGCCCACACACATGCACAGCCTCCCTCACTATCAACATTCCCCACCAGAGGGTACATGTTACAATCAATAAACACACTGACACATCATTATCACCCAAAGTCCATAGTTTATCTTACGGTTCATTCTTGGTGTTACATATTCTATGGGTTTGAACAAATATACAATGACACACTACAGCATCATACAGAGTAATTTCACTGTCCTAAAAATACTCTCTGCTCAGGTCATTCATCCCACCCTCCCCAAATCCCTGGCAACCACTGATCTTTTTATAATTCCCCATAGTTTTGCCTTTTCCAGAATGTCATATAGATGGAATCATACAGTATGGAGCCTTTACAGATTGGTTTCTTTCACTTAGTAATACACATTTACGGTTCTTCCATGCCTTTTCATGGCTTGATAGCTCATTTATTTTAACATTAAATAATATTCTACTGTGTGGATTATTTATCCATTCACCTAATGAAGGACATCTTGGTTGCTTACAAGTTTTGACAATTATGAATAAAGCTGCTATGGACATCCATGTGCAGGTTTTTGTATGGATGTAAGTTTCCAATGTTAAAGAACATTTTTTTTCACTCCCCAAAAAATCCCATACCTGCTAGTATCACTCATCATTCCCCTTAACCACTAACCTACTTCCTATCTGTACAATTTGCTTATTCCAGATATTTTACTGAAATAGAATCATAAAATTTGTGGCCTTTTTGTACTTGGCTTCTTTCGTTTAGCATAATGTTTCCAAAGTTCATCTATGTTGCAGCACATATCAGTAATTCATTCCTTTTTATGGCTGTATAATACTCTGTTGTATAGATAGAAAGCTACACATGTTATAAACTGTATAGAACTAAACACACACAAGTAAAACTGGGGAAATCTGAACAAGACTGGTGGATTGTATCATTGCTGATATCTCGTTTGTGATCTTGTACTACTGCAAAATGTACCACTGGGAGAAATTGGGTACAAGGTATATAAGATATCTCTGTATTCTATCTTGCAACTGCATATGAATCCACAGTTATCTCATAAAAATTTCAATTAACAAAAAGCAACAGCAAAGACTGGTGAGGACACAAAGCAACTGAAATTCTTACACATTACTTGAGGAAATGCAAAACAGTGTAGTACCTTTGGAAAACAATTTGGCAGTTTCTTATAAAAATGAAACCTACACCTGCCATACAACCCAATCATCTGACTCAGGTATGTATCCAAGAGAAATGAAAATTTTTGTTCAGAAAAATGTTTGTAGGCAGTTTTATTCACATTTGCCAAAAACTGTAAGCAACTCAAATTTCTTTCAACCTGTGAATGGATAAACAAATTGTGATACATCCATGTTATGAAATACTACTATACTACTCAGCAATAAAAAGGAATGATTCATGCAACATGAAATATTAAATTTGTTTTGCCAAGTAAAATAAGTCAGACCCAAAAGGTGACATTTATATAATTCCACCTATATGATACTACGGAAAAGGTTAACCTATTGGGACAAAAAAAGGAATCAATGGTTTCCAGGGATTCGGGGTGGAGGTGAGTGGCTGACTACAAAGGAACAGCATGAGGGGACTTCTGGTGTGATGAAATTGCTTTGTATGACACTGTAATGGTGGGAACAGAAATCTATGGATTTGCCAAAACCCACAGAACCATACATCACCAAGAATGAATTTTATAATATGCAGATATAAAAAGAAAACAAGTACATCTACACCATGCACTACTACTCAATAATAAAAATGAATTAACTACTGATATATCCAACAACTTGGATGAATCTCAAGAGCATTCTGCAGAGTGAAAAAAACCTATACAAAAGGTCACAGACATATAATTCCACTTATGTATGGATTGTTTATATAACATTCTTGAAATGACAAAATTATAGAGCTGGAGAACAAATTACTGGTTGCCGGGCATAGTGGGGGTTGAAGGGAGTTTATGACCGTAACAGGGCAGCAGGTAAGAGAACCTGGTGGTAATGGAGTAGTTGTGTTATCTTGAACGAGGTGGTGGTTGCACAAGTCTGCACATGTGATAAAATAACATAAAAGTATATATGCATAAGGTGGAAATGTCATTTTACAGGGTTGATATTACACTATAGTTATGTAATATGTAACCAATGGGGGAAACTGTTCAAGGGCACAGTGGACCTCTCCATATTATCTTTGAACCTTCCCAAGGATGTGTAATTATTTCAACATTTCTTTAAAAAGAAATCAACCAGCTGTGGGGGAGGGGAACAATGGAATGCAGACTGTGATAAATTAACTGTATTAAAAATCACATAACCACAATGAAAAAGACAGGTAGGAATGGACATAAGTAACTTTCTAAGTGTTTAACTAGATATTGTAAAGCTAAAGATGAAAAGAGCTACACTCAAATCTGTATTATAGTAAGCTCACAGGGGTGCAGATTAGCAATTCTGAAAATATTTGTACACTAGGGTTCAAAGAATAGGTAAATATATTGTAGACAATGAGAACCAGCTTTCTTTTTGTTGGGAGAATGCAATCACAATGGAAAAGACTAAAATGAAACCTGCGGTGCCAGACTGGAGTAAGCAGTACCAATGCAGACTCATGGTTTTCTATGAATAAATACATGCAGATAGACACTGACACAAAAGTAAATAGACATGTGTGTGCATTGGTTAGTTTACACGTATTTTCTAGTTCTTTCACCTAGAGGGAGTAAAGCAGTAAAACTTCAGTAATAATGTACACACCTATCATCTTGGCTTTTAAACACTACTGTCCAATAAAAGGAATCAAATCTTGTTGGAGAATTGGTTGATTCCAAGGCCAGGAAAGAATAATCTGAGCCTCAAAAATCTTGTGGTGCCAGAAAACAAGTAAATGCAAACAAATAAACAAAAAAAAAGGTGGATCATGTCAGAAAGACACAGGAGACAACTTGAAGAGTTTCCAAAAGATAAAACTGGAACAACGGGGTCAACAACAACAAAACAATAATAGTACTGGATTATAAGACAAAAATTTTTAAATTGATGAATCCGTACTGATATAAATAACTGAATAAATATATAGGGGAAAAAAGCCAACTGTATCTTATAGGAAAATTCCAACTAATAGATGAAGAAGGAATGAGACAAAAAGGAAATTACCATTAAAATCCCAAAGTAACAATTGCTAAAGGCAAGATTCACCAGTGAATGCTAACATTAGTGGGCAAGATGTTTAAAGAAAAACAGTATTTCCATAGTCTCAAAGCAGCCCCTTCAAAATATTTAGCATTTACAAAATGTAAAATAATTCTAAAGCAGAAAACTTTACAGAGGAGAATCCTGATAGATACAGTATTAACCAAGTGATCAAGGTTAAAGTCAAGAATAATACATATCAACATCATGTACCCCCAGTATAAAATGAAAAGGGCATTAAGGTCCCCCAGTCCGTTGATTTTAAGTTAATCAGAAGGGAGACTTTCCTGGGCAGGCCTGACTTAATCAGGTGAGCCCTAATAATGACGAGGAGTAACTAAAGTCATTGCCTTGTGGACCTTAGAGAAGCAGACTGCATGTGTAGAGAGTCATGTGGCAGGGAATGTCAGCAACCTCTGGGAGACGAAAACCTCAGTCTTAAAACTACAAGAACATGAATTCTGCTGACAACTTCAATAAGCTCAGACGAGACCCCAAGATCCAGGTGAGAATGCATGATAGACAACAGCTTGATTTCAGCCTTGTGAGACCGTAGACAATCCATGCCTGGACTTCTGAGCTACAAAAGTTGTGAGGTAATAAACAGGCATTGTTTTAAGCCACTAAGTTTGTGGTAATTTGTTACACAGCAACAGAAAATGAATATAACAAATGAACTATATATAGTCTTTAGAACTGCCAAGGTCATGAAAAACAGGAAAAAGGGAGGAACTTTCAAAGAATGGAAGAGACTAAGGAGACCTGACAACTAAATGCAGTTTGTGATCCTGGAACAGAAAAAAGACATTGTGGGAAAACTGATGAAACCTGAGTAAATCCCATAGTTTGGTTAACAGTATTGTTGCAAGGCTGATTTCTTCATTCTGGTAATTGTTCTATGACTATGTCAGATGTTAACACAAAGGGAAGTCAGGTCAAGGGTACACAGAAATTTTTACACTATTTTTGCAACCCTATAAATGTAAATTTATCTGAAAGAGTTAAAAATATGCATAATTCCAAGTTCTGTCTACTGGATCCAATGATAAACCAAGAATAATAAGCATATTTAACATCCAAATTGTCTCTAAACATTATATCCACTAAATGATAACAAAGCTCCTTGGTACAATGGCAATTCCTTCTGTGAAGCAAGAAATTTATAAGATGAGCTTAGTATCAAGGTTTTCCAGAGAAAAGAGAAACTATAAAAAGGAATAGGATCAAGTACCAAGAGCTGCAGGGGGAGCTGGAAAGCTGGAAACTGAGGATAGCCAATGGTTTTAGTCTAGGTCTGAAGGACTGAGAGCCAGTGATGTAGTTCCTGCTGAAAGCTGGCATGCTGGAGACTCAGTAAGAGTTGATGTTTTGGTTCAAGTGTGAAGACAGGAATAAAGCTAATATCCCAGTTGGAAAGCAATTGAGGAGGAGCAGTTTCCTCTTAGCCTTTTTGTTCTAATCAGGCTTTCAACTGATTGGATAAGGCCCACCCACATTAGGGAGGAAAATCTGCTTTACTCAGTCTACTATTTTACATGTTAATCTCATCTAAAATGACCCAAAATGTTTGCCAAATATCTGGGCACCTCATAGCCCAGTCAAGTTGACACATAAAATCAACCACCACTAGCCTGTAACATTTCGTTCTGACAAAAAGCAAGGAAGCAATCACAGACTAATGGAGTCTTGTCAAAAGGACACAGAAGCAATAAAAGGGTCATTGGCCAAAGGTAGGACAATTTGAGTGTGAAAAAAAAATAAATGCAATGAATTCAAGTATATAAAGGCCCATGAGGCCATAAAGATATATATATATTTTTAAGTCCAAAGCTAAAGAAAACAAAATGTAAAAAAAACCCAACATAGGCATACACCAATGTTAGTAACTAGGGCACCCGTTTTTCCTCTGAAAATTCATTATTTATCTCCCTTTCCAGTAAAAACATCTCAGGGTACCAAGTTACCCTACTTGATGAGGGAAAGTTCTTTACAGAGGAATTTCAGCTCATTAACTGTGAAAGAACAACAAAATTAGAAAATCAGTGTTTTGTCACCCCCTAATGAAGAAAAAGATTCATTGGTGAAAGCACAGATTAAAGTTTGATGGGAATCTCTACAATGAAGGAACCAGGCTGTCTCACTAAATCCATTTTCAACATTAGCATCCGGAACATGGAACAAGCAGACAGCATGTGCCTGCTGGTGGCATACAATACCAAGGACAGCATCACCATGGAGTGACTGTCCAAAAAGTTGTACCTAAATCTAATCATGCCTTCAGGGCTAATTTCTATTCATAGGAAATATAAGAGATAGGAGAACACAGGAAAGGAACCACTGAAGAGGCAAACAGACAAATTCAGAAAGTGGAATGTCCTATTAAACAACCGGCCTAGCTTCTTTAACAAGTTAAAAACATCAAGTTAAAAAAACAGCACAAGGGAACGGCTGTTTTAGATTATAAGGAATCTGACATAACCAAATATGCTGTATGAATCTTGTTTGGATCCTGATTCAAACAAATCAACTGTAAAAGTTTTTTGACAGTCACAGAAATTAGATTATGGAATGGAATTAAATAAGACCTAGAATTTATTGATAATTCTGTTAGGTAAGATAGTGGCATTATGCTCCTCCCATGTAAAAAAAATCCATATTTTGTAAGATGTATACTGAAGTATGCAAGAGAGTTGATACGATATCTGGGATTTTCTTTAAAATTAAAGAAAAATAAGAATAAAGAAAACGGGGGGAAAAACCTAATCCCTAGTACCTTCTTGCTTAGGGTTAAAAAGTCATGTCTAAGCTTCTGGAATCTGGAACTCAGAAGGGTGAATACTACTTTTAAAACTTGTTTCTGCCATTTCCCACAATATCTTACAAAATGTTGAACATACAGCAGGCACTCAAAAAATACTGAAATATCAGAACACCTTTTTCACATTTATGAAAACTCAATTCTTTATTTACTGGTTTCTCTTTTTCTACCTCCTTCATCCTTTAAAATATTCAGAAATTTTATCTGAATTTTGTTATCTCCAAACTTCAGGAGTTATATACACACATATTGTACCTGAATTCTTCAAGACAGTATTTCAAAAATCAAGAATACAAGTAAATTCGTAAGTGTTGATTTTCTATCACTTAATAGTGTCCATGTTTATTCTCAGTAAATTCAAAAAAGCTTTTTTTTTTACTTTTTTTTTTTTAGTATAGTCAGTTACAATGTGTCAATTTTTGGTGTATAGCATAACGCCCCAGTCATGCATATATGTACACATATATTCATTTTCATATTCTTTTTATTAAAGGCTATTGCAAGATAATGAATATAATTCCCTGTGCTATACAGAAAATTTTTAATCTATTTTTATATATAGTGGTTAACATTTGCTGATCTAAAAAAGCTATTCTTAAATTTTTGTCTTTAGAATTTTATGAAAAGCAACAGGATTACTAATGTGAACAAAACTGTGGAAGTCAGTAATTATGGATTTCATATTTATGAAAAAACCTGAGTGCATACTCTGTTCCAGGTAATATTCTAAGGGCTTTGCTTGTTTAAATTCATTAATTATCGAAACAATCCTATGAAGTAGGTACTATTATTATTCCTGTTTTATAGATGAGACAGAGAAAGTAAGAGCAACTTACCCAAAGTTCCACAGATAACATACAGCAGTGCTAGAATTCAAAGACACACAGTCTAGCTCCAATACCCCATTCCTCTACCACTACACTGGGCTGACTCACACTGAGGCATCATCCGCCTGATGCTGTTGTCTATCTACTCAATTCCAGTATTAACGGTTGGCTTTCACTATTTTCAGAGAGAAAATGAAGAAAATGACGACATAAAAATGAATGATAAAATTTACCTTTTGAATGGCCTCTTCCATATCCAACTCAAACTGTTCATTTTGTAATAATCTGAGGAGCCTTTTGCGTTCAGCACGGTCAGCATTCTCATTCTGCACCCTTTGGTCCCGGATTTGATTCTGTAGCTTTTGTAGTGCCTCGATATGCAATTTTCTGCAGTCGTTTACATCTACTAATTTCTGGTGCCTTTCACTGAAGCTCAAAGTTCTTCTGTTGGAAGCCTATGAAAGAAAGAAGGGAAGGAAGAGAAGGGAAGAGAGCGGGAAGAAGGAAGAAAAAGAAAGAAAGAGGAAAGGAGAGAAAGGGAAGGAAAAGAAAGGAAAGGAGGAAGGAAGAAAAAAAGAGAAAGGGGGGGGAGAGAAAGCGAAAGGGAGAAAGAACAAAGAAAGATCAGTTTGTTTGGTATTCCAGGATCTAATTTTTTTTAAATATGTTGATGGAGCACCAGAAACAAATGAAACAAAGATAGCTAACAGTAAGAAACGAAAGGCTTTTGGTTTCCTTCCTAAATTCATAGAAATATATCATAATTTAAAAAACTGAATGTGGTAGATAAATACATGATATATCAATAAAGATATACCAATGAAGCAGGTAGTATTAGTGTTCTCCAACTTAACAGGCATGAAAAGTTAAAGCAACGACCCAAGTTTCCTCAGCTATCAAACAGCTGCATTAGGATTCAAAGACGTGCAGCTGAGCTGTATAGAACCAGCTCTTTACCGCTACGCAGGGAATGCCTCTTTACCCCCTGTCCCGCTTCCCGCTTGGCCATACAGTGCTGTTTCGACGCTGCTCACGTTTTTCTAATACAGAATTAACAACAGGTCAGCCAGCTGCTATTTATTCATCCGCGCTCTCCTGGACTTTCACTTCCACTCGTTTGTTCCGCGGCTCTTACACATTTCCCAAATTTCCAGCAACATGGAAAACAAAATTTTCACCAAGTACATCCAACACAGTGGGGGGAATGCAAAAAGAAAGAAAGAAAGAAAAAAAAGCTGGAAGACGCCACTGAGCGTCCCTTAAATAATAGCTCCTGAGGCTTCTAAAAGCAAATACGAGTTTCCCACTTAATTCTCAAATTAGCCACTTCAAATCCTGCTTTAGAAGCAGCTGGTTCTAAACTACAACGAAATCAACAAACGAGTATTTTTCGAGACCCCCGTCAGGCTCACCATCTCGGCAGACGAAAACTCTCCTCTCGCTCCCGCGGCCACCAGCTGCCTCCGCAAGGCGAGCCCCGCGCCGCTCTCCCGTGTTTATGCGATTTCCCGGCAACCGCCTCCGCGGCGTCGCGGCGTCCGAACGCGGCCGGCCCGCGAAGGCCGCCACCTCCCATTGGACGAAGCTCTAGCCAACCGGCGTTGAGCTTCCTGGGAGGCTGGCAGGGAGGCTACTTCCATAGGGCTACAGCGGACAGGCGGGAAGTCCGGATCTTCTGCCCAGGTGCAAGCCCTTAGCAGTTTGTTAGGAGCCCAAGATCTCCCTCAAGCGGCTAACTGTGGGTTTGGTGGAGTTGGGATCCAAGTTGAGATGTGGAAACTGTTTACAGAGAAATACGCCAACTCCTGCCTAAGACATAGGGCCAAAGTCACTGTCCACGCGCAGGACATACTGCAGCCTCAGTGCCTGTTCTGCCAGGGTTGCTGACCGCCTTCGTCCGCAGCAGTGGGAGACACGTCCACGGTCTCTCTGGCTGAGTAACTGCACTGTGGGTAGCGCGTGCTTTCTGGAGACTTCTCGCCCCCTCCACCGAAGCTATTGGCAGATGTGAGGAATAAAATATATGGGTCACATGGGTCTTATTTTGCTATGTAATACATGGCCCAGGTACTAACAAGAGAACAGATGATGGCCAAATGTTGGTCAGGTTTATTTTATTGGCAGGTTAGACACTGATGTCCGTTTTAAGTGGAAGAATTTAAGAACAGGAATGGCTCAGAGAAATTAGTCAAATATGTTGATTTTAGAGATGACATTTAGAAAAAAACCTGTCAAAACTTAAAAAAATTATTTTAAGGTAATGCGCATGAGAACTTGGTTTGTGCTACCTAATTTAAAGTCCATCTTGCATAGCAATATGTCTGCTTAAAGATTAATAACAAGTAGGACTTCTGATATCAACTCCAAAATACAAAATGCTTGGAGGTTATCACTTCCATCCTTACTACCAGAAAAAGCTGGAAAAACTAGAAACTAATGACTTTTCTTGCATTCATCATAGAACTGAGGTCACAGGGCAACCCAACACCCTGAAATCTGGAGAGAGGTAAATCCAGAGTCACAGTCAAGACCTGCTTACCTGGAGCAGAAGCCCCTGAAGCCATCAATTAGGAATAATGAAACGGTAGTTTTGATTGATTGCTGGAGACTGGGTGTGGACTCGCATCAATGTAACCAGTGGAGACTGCAGGGCTAGGGAGGCCCCTACACTTTGTGGGTTTTTGCCTCCAGGAATCTCAGCAGGTTCTCACAGTGAAAAAACAAGAAAGATCTGTGGCCCTGGCAGGGCGTTGAGAAGAATCATTGTGAAATACGCCCAGAGCCTTCTCCATAATAAAGGCCTGCTTTCCTGAGGAAAAGATTTTACCAGGGCCTTAGCCTTATCACACCTGGGGCAAGGACGGTTCTCTGCCTAAAGCCTCCTCCAGCCGTCCTGACTCATCTAAGTGGAGAGAGGGGATCTGAGAAATACTTGTGTAGGTTACAGTCCAAGGAAACAGCTCGACTAACAGTTTTAATCATAAAATCATAGAACACTTCCCCTTTCCCACACTTTCCCAACACACCAACAGTACTCTAGTATAATAACAGGTAGTTACAGCTGGAAGTGCTTCAAAACACAACCCTTCACAAGGAATTCTTAGGGAATCCAAAGACAACAGGAGACAAAAACATTAGAAGAATCTGAAGTCTCTGGAGCTACAACAAACATTAAATACAGCCCAACTCCTAGGCATATAATTACAAAACCTCTCTCACTGAAGCACTGTTAACCTCAGTTTGTTACCCAATATACCATGCCCAGCTTTCAAAAACAAATTAAAAGGCTAAAGGCAAATTGTTGAGAGGCAAGGGAAAACACAGTCTGAAAGGCAAAGAAAGCATCACAACTAGATTCAGCTATCACACAGATTTGGGATTACACAGGCATTTAAAATAACTATGGTTAATATGCTGAGGGATCTGATGGAAAATATGGACAACATACAAGAACAGATGTGTAATGTAAGCAGAGAAATGGAAACTCTAAGAATCCAGAGGAAATTCTAGAAATCAAAAACACTGTAACAAATGAAGAATGCCTTTGATAGGCGTATCAGTAGGCTGGACACCACTGAAGGGAGAATCGGTGAGCTTAAAGATATGTCAATAGAAACCTTCCAAACTGAAATGCAAAGAGATTAATAGCAAATAGATAACCCTAATGAGTTTTTAGACCTCACCTTAGATTCACGTTGTTCTCCAATATTAGAAGAGGACTTGTGCAAGTGTGTGTGTGTGTGTGTGTGTGTGTGTGTGTGTTTGTGTGTGTGTGTGTAGGGGAAATACTTTCAATGTTTCTGTCTTTTGGGAGTCTTATAAAGCTAGTAACTACAAAAGTAAAATTGACTACAGGATGTGTGCAGTACAAAATATTTTGTAACCAGGTTGCAACTATTATTTGCATTTAATCCCCTGTTAGTCTAACAACTTCCACAAGAACTCTACAAAAATCACGGCTCATGTATAGCTTAAGGTAGCCTCTAGTTAAACCTTGTTGGCTAGGCTGTTAGCAGACGTTTTTTTGTTGTTTTGAACACTGATGTATCCCAAGCATTTAAAACAGTGTTTGGCATACAATAAGTGATAAATAAATATTTGTTAAAGAAATGATTGAAATTTTATGACTGTTATGCACATAGGAGAAAGCTCAACCAGAAATAACTTTGAAGAAATGTTGTTCTTCATGAGTTAGAGTTTTATCAATTTTATTTATATTTTCAAAGAGTAAACTTTTGGTTTTATTCATTTTTTCTATTTTTTTAAATTTCCAAGTCCACTGTTTTCTGCCCTTACCATCATTATTTTCTTCTCTGTTTGCTTTGGGTTTAATTTGCTCTTCTTTTTATACTGCCATAAGGTGGAATCTTAAATCTTTATTTAAGACTATTCTTCTTTTCTTTTTTTTTTTAATTAATGGAGGTACTGGGGATTGAACCCAGGACCTCGTGCTTGCTAAGCATGCATTCTACCACTGAGCTTTACCCATCCAAGACCATTCTTTTCAAATATAAATGTATAACTTATATTTCCCTCTAAGCCCTGCGTTAGCTGCCTTCCACAGATTTTGGTATGTTGTACATTCTGATTTGTTCAGTTCAAAATATTCAAAGACTTCATCTTTGCCTGTGAATTAGAAATGTTTTGTTAGATTTCCAAACAGTCAGATTGTCCAGGTATCTTTTTTGTTGTTGTTGTTATTGATTTCTAGTTTAATTCCACTATGGTCAGAGACCATACTATGTATGACTTCAAATCTTTTAAATTGGTTGAGATTTGTTTTATTGTGCAGAATATGGTCTGTGCTTGCGAATGTGTCATGTGTCCTTGAAAAGAGTATGTATTCTGGTGTTTTGGGTGAGGTGTTCTATAAATATCAATAACATCAAGTTGGTTGAGAATGCTGTTCAGGTATTCTATATCCTTAAACCATTTCTATCGATTTGCTTTATTAAATAAGTTACTGAGAGGAGTGTTGAGGTCATCAAGAACAACTGTGGATTTGCTTATTTCTCTTTTCTGTTCCTTTTTGCTGCATGTGTTTTAAAGTTCTGTTGTTCTATTTAAGATTATTACTATGTCCTGAAAACATTTTGAAATGACCCTCTTTTTCCCTGGTGATATTCTTTGGTCTGAAGTCTTTTTGATATTAATGCAGGCACTCCAGCTTTCATTTATCTAGTGTTTACATAATATACCTTTCTTCATGCTTTTATTTTTAATCTGTCTTTATATTTAAAATGGTTTTCCCATAGATAGCATACAGTTGGATGGTGCTTTTTTATTTAACTTGACAATCTCCATCCTTGAATTGGTCTGTTTATGCCATTTACATTTACATATTGTTATTGATATGTATGGATTGAAATCTACCATTTTGCAAATTTTTAAATATTTGTTGCATCTGTTATTTACTTTCTCTTCTTTTTCTTTCTTCTTTTAGGTTATTTTTGTGGTTCCCTTTTATTTTCACTATGAGCTTATCATTTATACTTATTTATTTTTATAGTGATTGCCCTAAGAGTCACAATATACATTTAAATATACAAATACTTTATTTCTGCCTCATTTGTTGTGTGTAAACCTTACAACAGTTTAATTTTAATTCCTCCACTCCATCTTTTGTGCTATTGTTAACCATACGTTTTACTTTTACATAGATAAGTCTACAATATACAGGTTTCCACATATGTTAGATTGTTTGATATTGTCTCAAAGCTCTCAAATGCTCTGTTTTTCCCCTCCTCTGATTTTTCTCTGTTTGTGTTTCAGTAGGAGTAATTTTTATTGCTACATCTTCAAATTTACTCACTCTTTCTTCAGCTGTGTCAAGCCTTCTGATGAGCCTGTCAAAGGCTTTCTTCATAGTCATCACTATATGGTTTTATCTAATGCTTCCATTAACTCTTTCTTGTAGCTTCCATCTTCTCAGCTAAAAAAACCCATCTTTTCACATATACTGTCTACCTTTTCCATTACAGACTTTAATATATTCATTACAGTACTTTCATTTTTCTGATAGTTTCACCATCTGGGCCATGAGTTCTAGTCTGTTAATTGCTTCATCTTTATACACTTTTTACAATTTTTTTTCTATTTTTTGTGTGTGGGAGGGGGGGTCACATACTTTTTGACTGAATGCCAGACATCATGTTTTAAGACAGCAGAGACTGAGGTAAATCATATTTATGTCTGGAAATAAGCACACGTATTCTCCTACAATTAGTGTAGGAGGTTGGGTCCATATAGTCAGAAGCTGAACATGATCTGAACTTTGTGTTGCTAACTGTGCTTACATGCACCACCATCTTCACCTGTGTCTAGTGTTATCTTGTGCTTATGTGGGGGTTGGTTTTCCAGACAGCTTTTCTCAATGTTGCTGACTCACCCTTAGCTTTTGGCCTTCCCTGTGTCCCTGCGCGTCCCAGTGGCTCTCTCCAAACTCTGCCTCCTCCCCAAGCAGTAGACTACTGTTTTCATTGTTCCTGCTTGCTATCCAGGTGGTGAGAGGGTGAGGTGTTCTCCGTCACCCTGGACCAGGCTCAGCATTTTAGACAGGTCCTGACACACTAGGGCTCTGGTTTAGGGGTCTCATGTATTGGAAAAGCTTTTTTCTTAATGGTAAGTATTCACTCTTTTCTTCAGGCCTTTAAATAAAGTCTAAAATCCTCAACCTGACCTATAAAGGCTTGTATGTCTACCCTCTCCAGCTTTCTTCTTCAAACTTTGGCCAAAATGGACTTCTCTGAGCTCTGCCCTATCATAGGGCCGTTGTAAGTGTGGGTCTCTGCCCTTAATAAGAGCATGGGATGACTGCAACTCCACCAGCTGTCTTGCTGATGAGATAACACATGCCCTGGATAGCAGAGCAGAAAAATGGAAGGAGCCTTGGTTCTCTGTGACCATAGAGCTGCCACATGAGCCCTGGGCTGCCTAACTCATGACCTCATGCCAGCTGGAAGAAAATTAAACTAACTCATCTAAGCTCCTGTGTCCTCTCCTTCACCCGGGATTCTATTACA